AAAAAATGTAAACCCAGTGATGTTCCATCAGGTCTCTACAACTTGATCTCTGCTTTATCAGCAAAGCTCAGGCAACTTTGGTCTTGTTTGACTTGGCAAATGCAGCCAGGACCACCCTGGGCAGAGACCCCAGTGCTGCTCCTGGGCTCAACCCCATTCCCTTGGCCAGGAAAGACATGAATTCAGCTTCCTAATAAAGATAGGGATCAGAAGGAATGCTCTGGAAAGCTTAAGGACTTATACATGTGGTAAAAGAGAAGCCGCTCCGAGCCAGGGAACGGTTGGGACCTTACGGAGTGTTGGTGCTTGGCCTTGCCTAGGTGGGCTGGGGAGGAGCTGCCCCTCTCCTATAACAAAACGCAGGTTTTCTTGTCCTTGAAAGGGTTCTCAGAAGCAGGAATGCCCATGAGTAACGGGTCCTTCTTGGCGTGTTCCTCACAGTACAGCATCAGGTCTGCCGAGGCTTTGGACACCTGCAGGAGACAGGGAAAAATAAACAGACAATGGGGTTTCCCATGGGAACAGGATCAAAGGTGCTGAGAGCTGTGATGGGTACAGAGTCCCTATGAGGGATGGGAGAGGCACTTGGAGAGAGATATGTTCTGTCTCCTTGCTTCATCCTCAGGGAGGAGGAAAGGATGAATCCTGCTGCTCTTTGGGATTCATCTGTGACACCAGGTAAAGGTTCCACTTGGCTCCTACACAGAAAACTGGGAATAAACAGGAGGGGGTTCAAAATAGTGCAGTGGGTTGTAATGAGGAATTTCTCATCTATCCTGCAGTGACAGGGAAGAAAACAGGGGAGAAGGTTCCTTCTGCCAGAGGGCAGGGTTAGATGGGATACTGGGCCACAAGAACTGCCTTTATTTAGACTTGTTGAGCTGAAATGCTGATGTCACATTTTGAGATGGGAAAAATCACTGAGCTGTGGGTGCACACACACACACACACACACACACAGATATGTCATTGTCCTCCAGCTCCTTTCAACGAGGAAAGAAAGGAGGGGTGAGAAAGGATGTGCTGTCACCTTTATCCTCTCTATTGAGGCTTCTATCCTGAGCTGCTGCACAGTCCTTCGGGCCTGAGCAATGTTGTTGGTCGTGGTGGCTGTTTTGCCAGACATTTTCAGTGGAGCAGGGAAGTTCTGTTTGGAAAGACAGCAGGTTATTTTTCCAGAAGGTGGCACAGCACCTTAAACAGCTTTTACAAAGAGGCATCCATGACACGTTGCAAAAAGGGTTTTTTGTTTGTTTGTTTTGTTATTAAGATACCCAACAGGACCAGACAGTTGAGAAACAGCTCTGGAAGTAAAACATCCTCCAAAAAAAAAGCATGGAGCTTCTGTGCAGGTTTCTGCCCCTTGGTTGAAGCCAGTGGCAGTGAGGAGGATGGGAAAAGCCATGGCTGGTCTGGCAGCAATTCCAGCACAGCTTTGGCAGCTTGGTTCCCATTTGCAGCTCCCCATGGACTTCCAGGAGAGCCCAGTGTGTACCAGGATCCCCATGCTTCCCTGAGAGTTGGACCGTGGAAGGAGGCTTGCTCCTGAGCCCACCAAAGAGCAAGGAGTGAGCCAGGATAGAACCACAGAATCATTTAGGTTGGAAAAGCCCTCTCAGATCATCGAGTTCAACTGTCCTCCAGCACTGCCAAGGCCACCACTGACCCATGTCCCCAGGTGTCACATCCATATGGCTTTTCAATCTGTCCAGGGATGGGGACTCCACCACCGCCTTGGGCAGCTGCGCCAGGGCTGGACCAGCCTTTCTGTGAAGAAATACTATCCATGGCACAGGCTGATCTCAGCATCCCTGGCTGTTTCATGAAGGCTTATGGTGGAGCAGATACCCACCTGCAGCCCAGACTGAGGACTGTGCAGCATTGCATTCCCAAGGATATCCTTACAGGCATCACAGCGGCCAAGAGCTTAGTGCTAAATTAGTCCAGTGCTAAATGTCCAAGGCCAGATTGGACAGGGCTTGGAGCAACCTGGTCTAGTGGAGTGTCCCTGCCCACGGCAGAGGGTGGAACAAGAGGAGCTTTAACATCCCTCCCAACCCAAACCAGCCTGTGATTCCAAGTTATTCAGGTCTCCAGGTGCCCAAAGAGACTGTTTGGACCAGCCCTGCCTGTGTCACTGTCCTGTGTAGCAGTCTCTAGAGGACTCTACACAAACCTTGCTGCTTGTTTTCCACAGCTCCACATGGATAATTGGCTCCACGGGGCTGTGCTTGAATCATTTATGGCATTACAGTGACCCGAGTTCAACATGGCTCTGTGTGACCTTTCCAAGCGCTGCCCACAGCGGTTCCTGCAGGATTCAAGTTTCTCTCACCTCAGCCTGGAGAGCAGGGCTGTTTTCCAGGCAGTGCCCATGCCTGCCCAGCTAGCTGAGAACAGCATTATCCTGCTCTGAGTCCCCATTTTTGGGGGGAAAAATTCTTGGAAAAGCTTTGGGCAGAGGAAATGCCAGGTGACAGGTAACACCACCTGCTCAGGCGCAGGTGAGGGGACATTCACACCTGACATTTGGTATCAATAAAAAAAACTTATTTCCTAAAGCAAATGGATGTGGATCCATGGATGTTCTGCCTCTGCAACCACCTGACCCCTGGTCTGTGTCAGTCCTGTGCTGCCCCAGCTCCCCACAAACACCTCATGGGCCAAAAATATCTGCCAAGTTGTGCTCCAGAGAGGTCACCTATGGAGTGAGTCACAGAGGATTCACTGCTTACCACCCATAGAAAGAAATTCATGCAAAATTCAAAAAGCCAACAGAATTTTTCTTCTGTAGCGTTCCCACTATGGCACGGGCTTAGCCCAGGACACAGCACTCATGGAATCACAGGATCCCAACTGCTTTGGGTTGGGAGGGACCTTCAAGCTCATCCAGTTCTACCCCCTGCCATGGGCAGGGACACCTTCCACTATCCCAGGTTGCTGCAAGCCCTGTCCAGCCTGGCCTTGGACATTTAGCACTGGGCTAATTTAGTCCCTGCAGTTTTCACTTACTATATTGAAAAACTATTATGTGAAAAACCCAATCCAAAGTAATTATTTTTTTATCAAGTAATGTATGCAGCTCCGAGAAGATAGCTCAGAATTTTCTAATTCCTGTAATTTTAGTACTTAAAAAAAAAAAAAAAGACATAAGGTTTAAAAAATTATTGTAAAATTAAAACATAAACCATTCTCCTCTCGTTTTACTGGGGCAAGACCAGTGTTCTCTTCCTCAGCCCCAAACCCTTTTTTTCAGCTGGAGAGGTTTGAAGCTCTGGATCACTTTCCAATCTCCATGGATGACCTCCTTAGGAAAGTTCCAGTGCTTATTTTCCCAGCTGGTTAGCTTTGTTAATAAATTAGATGTTTTTAAAAAAAAGAGAAAACGCAACCCAAACCATAACATTTGAAAATTAAATTGCTTCATTTCCCCATCTCCAAACAAACACAAGCCTTAATACTCCTCCTAAGATCACTAAATCTCTTCTACAGAGAGATTTACAAACAACTAGGTCAGCACCCAATAATACTGTTTTCCCTCTGAGTTCCTGGCAACTGATCCGAGCTGCTGCGACCTCCCAGAGCCACTGGATTTCCCCTAGGATGCACTGGACTTCAGGAAACTCCTCAGATTTAAATTGGTGGTGTCCACAGCTCTGCAGAACTTGGGGGTTTGTGCCCTTGGAGCTGTGGGCAGGGTTTTCTGAGATAGGGAAGTCTCCCAAGGGAATGAAGTCGCTCTCTAAAGAAATGACCATGCGGTCAGAGAGGGCACCGCTCCGATTTCTAGGAAGCGAATCCTCATGCTCAGCAGGCTGAGCCAAAAGCAAAGATATCCCAAGAGCCTGACTCATTCCAACACTTTCCCATCAGGATTTCTCCTGTTCCAGCACTTACAGTCATGACTGTGCTAAATGGACCAAAACAAATTTCCAAAAAGTTTTTCCACTCACCACCTAAGACAAAACACAGCTGGTGCTTAAGGCCAGGTTGGACGGGGCTTGGAGCAACCTGGTCTAGTGGAAGGTGTCCCTGCCCATGGCAGGGAGAGGAACAAGATGGGCTTTAAGGTCCCTTCCAACCAAAAACATTCCATGATTTTATGGTTACAAGTGACAAAGCTGAACGAAGGTTTGCTGGATCCAAGGTTGGTGGTGACAGAGATTCCCAAACCCCAGAGCAGACATGGGCATAGCTGCAACTCTTGCTTGTCTCTGACTCACAAACTAAAATGAGACAAAAGAATCAGTCCCACCAACAGCTTCTCTGGCCATCACCCCCTGCCATGTGCAGGAACACCTTCTACTAGACCAGGTTGCCCCAAGCCCTGTTTAACCTGGCCTTGGACACTTCCAGGGATGGGGCAGCCACAGCTCTGGGCAACCTGTAACAAGGCCTCACCGCCCCCATACGGAAGAATTTCTTCCTAATTTATCTATGGAAAACTGAGGCCAGTGTTTGTTCAGATGAGCTGGATGCTCACCAGCTGCACTTTGCCTGTGAAAGGGAAAAACACATGAATCCTCCAGTGTAATTCCTGCAGGCCACACACCTGCATGTTTTGCTTTCTTGAAGTACCTGCAAAGGGGTGGAGCTGCCCCTCTTCCCTAGAAAACCCCTGTTTTTCCAGGTCTTGCCCTGTTTTTTGTCACAGGCTTTAGGTAATGAGATGACCATGCAGCAGGTCCCCAGATCCACCTCATCTGGGCTTTGAATTTCAGCTCCAATTTCAGCTGCAGGGGCAGGACATGGGGTAAGGTTTTAGTGGGTTCTTGCACGTGCCACTTTCCCAGGAGCTTGTGTGAGAGCAGGAGGGCTGGCAGCCAGTTGGGACTTGAATGCTGGAGGTTGGTTTTACTACAGGGTGCTCAGGAGCAGATTTGTTACAACTTGCAGAACCAAAAACTCTCCCAATCCAAGGCAAGAGGCCAATGCTGCCATTAAAGGCGGGTGCAGAAATAAACCAATCCATTCTGAGGGCACATCAGAGCACAACCAGGTACAGCAACAGATGAAACAGTTGCACACAAGCAATAATCTGTATCTGCGATACTTCATAGCCTTGAATTTTAAATATTTAGGTCCCCAATGGAAGAATGTGTTGGAGGAATCTCAGTGTGCCTGGTACTGCCTTCTGCCAACATGTGTTGCAGAGCATTTGGCGTCCCAGCAAGTGCTGACATGTCCCCTCCCAGATCCTGCACACCCTGGAACACAGTGGCACCTGGCATGAGGTGACCCACAGGGAGGGTGGGAGAGGCACAGGGTCCCCAATGGCAGCAGCAGGTGAGAGGAAGAAGTATCCAGGGGATGCCTCTGCCCACCTGAAACCAAAATTGCCCTTGGGGGGGGCTGCTTCCCTGCCAATGTGCACAGAGTGGGGGGCTGAAGGAGGTACCTTGGCCTGGCAGGACAGGTAGCGGGCCCAAGGGTTTTGCAAAGGGCTTGGAAAGCCTGGATGTGCAATAAGTGTGGAAAAGAAGTGGAAGGGTCGGCATGGAGGGAGCAGGGTGAGCAGCCCTGACCTGTCACCCACCAACCCTGCACGTGAGTCCCCCCAGCCGCTCTCTGAGAACGCTCTGTATCACACCCACAGCTTCCACCGAAACACTATAAATACTACAAAAGCTCTCCACGCTGTTCTGCCAGAACCAGGGACCCACTGTCCCAGCTGTAACCCTAATTAGAGAGCATAGGAACGAGCCAGGCACGTTCCACACTCCTCCTGCTCCAACCGGTTGCTCTGCTTCGAGAAGGAAAGAGCACTTCCAACAAAACAGTCCCTTCCCGGCTCACTCAGCCTCGGCGCCTGCGCGGGGTGAGCCCATCCTTGAAAACCCTGCTCTGGAAATGCAGCCAACCTCGTTTTTCCAGTGGTGGGTGCAGCCAAAGGGAAAGCCCAGGGTTGGCAGGGCTCTGCTAGCCTGATCCCTGCACAGGGCCGTGCTGACACCCAGTGGAAACACCAGCGCTGGAATCATTTCCTTCTGCCACACTACCAAGGAGAATGGAAAATAAACCTGGGCAGCTGGAAAACACCAGAGTCCTGCCCTCTGCAGGAAAATAGAACTGAGTGGTAAAAGAAAAGAGGGATTAGAGATGCTTTTGTGTCATTTCTTTTTTTAAGATACTCCGTCCCTGGAAGTGTCCAAGGCCAGGTTGGATGGCGCTTGCAGCAAGCTGGGGTAGTGGAAGGTATCCCTGCCTATGGCAGGGACTGGAATGAGATGGGCTTTAAGGTCCCTTCCAACCCAAACCATTCCGTGATTCCATGATCCTTATACCCCACACAATGGATGGACAACAAGGTGGTGGGACACACCAGAGTTACCCAGGAGGACCTGGAGCCACTCGTGCACTTTGCAGACTGAACACAGCACCCACAGTGCAAACTTCCCACGAAAAGCAGTGTCAGGGATCACCCACAACTTCCCCAATGGCTCCAGGGATACCAGCCCCCTACTCCCTTGTCCTTCCTCAGCACAGCCCCAGCCAAGGCCATGGCTCCAGTGCCTGCAGGAGCTGCTCCCATCACAGGGATGGATCATCTGGGGCTAGAGGAAGGTTTCTGCACCCGCTCCACACCTACCACAAACCAAACTGTGAGGAGTAGCTCCCTGGTTCCTGACAGGTGAGAAGGACTGGATTTTTAAATAGGTATCAAGGAAGAGTTAAAATCATAGCACAAATATTTTATACACACTAGAAAAAGTTTGGGTTAGGTAAAGGAAAACAAGAAACTCCCCAGACAAAACTAACTGCTTCACCTACTGGAGGGTCCACACTATGACGCAGGGAACCTGAAACATGTGGCAGCTGCAGGACTTTGGGAGGGATGTGAGTGCTTTGGGATGCACACCCTGCACAGCACCACAGCCAAAGGATCACGGGTCCCAGATTTCAAAACCACTTTTACAGCAGAAAAGGTACAGCAATGACAAACTCTGCTGTCATGCTCCTCTCAGAAGAGGTGCAGGATTCAGGGCTGGGTTAGCAATGGGAAGCCTGGGCACACAGATACACCTGGTTTACACAGAGGTGGGTGAGCAGTCCATCAGTGCAGATGGAGAATAAAGGCCCCTTAGAACACCCCCTTTTGATGTTTCCTTATCAGAGAATTTACACTTGGGAATACTAAGTGATTTTACAATGGAGATCTTTTTTTCAGTTATAAACAATGTTGCCAGTGTCTTAGTCCTTTTCAAATGGATTAAAACCCATAAAATAATGTGAAATGAAAGGAAACAGACAACTCCCAAGACGATCAATTGGATTTCATATTCCGGGTGTTTAATTAAGGTTGTGTTCCTTCATAACCTCCATCCCACAAGTTATTGCAGTACCATCCTGCTGATCAAACCTAGGCTACAGCTCTGTTTGATTTTCAAAGTCAGCCTTCATGATGTGACTCTGTCAAACCCAATGTACATGTTCAGAGATGAGTAGTGGAAAAACCTGCTTTTATTTTCCTCTGCATTTTTTTTCTGACTTAACTTTTTGTATCTTTAGTACACATGAAAGCCATGAAAAGTGGCTTCTAGATCAAGGTTCCTTTGAAAAACATCTGAGCCATATTATTTTAAAGACATCAGCCTGAAGCCATTGGAAAAGACAATGAACTGCAGGGCAGTTTATCCACAGAAGGTCCCTGTTTTTCCCCACAGGGCACTCCCCAGGTAAATCCCACCAGGAAAGATGGGCAAACTACAAAGAGACATTTGCAAAGAGACTTGTAGCTGTATCAAAATCAGCTCCTCTTACAGCATGTAAAGCAGGAGTGGTCTGTGATTAAAGCTCCAGACTGAGTGTCACGGGATGCAGCTTGGCCTCAGGTTCTGTGACCTTCAGCAAATTCCTTCGTCTGCAAGAGATAAAGCCGAGGACGAAGGCGGGAGATGCTCTGGGAAGAGCTCTGTAGGGCTCAGCTCAAAGAACTGGAAGAGTGCAAAGGATTTCACCAGCCTCTTGGCTACAAGAATTTATCAAAGCACCTATTTTTCAGGATGGGGTGAATATAGGAAGAATCTGCATGATGACATGGTCAAACAAAATGCCTGTAACACAGCAGAGGCAGAAATGATGAAGACTTGCATGTTGCCCCTTCCTTACTGGGGGAATAAACAAGGAAAAGCCTAATTTCCATGGCCAAAGCAGGTGTTTCTGCCCCCTAAATTCCAGTCAGTTAAAAACTTGAGGTGAATAGTGTGAGCAACCAGCGCTGCGCCAACACCAAGCTGTTGCTGTCCTTGTAGCTCTCCTCCACAAAGCTGCCAAGTATTTTTTATTTGTTTTGCTCCAGAATAAAATTGAATCACTGGTGTTTGGGACTTGTTGTGCTGCTTTATATTTTGTATGAAAGGAAGGAACAAGAGTGGACTGGAAACTCACCTACATAGGCAGACTTGCTACCTGTCCGGCTTGCTTTGATTTTATCAGTGTAATGATCCTGAAACAGAGTAAAATAAAAATTATAAGGACTTTATAGTGCAAGAAAGCCAAAGCTAAGGGGGTTTGGCACTTGTGGTTTAATTCCAGTCACAAAACTTACAGTATTTTGAGATTGGCCTGGCTGGAAAACCTACCTCAGATCTTTCTTATTGCCAGTTTTCCTACTTCCCTTCTCAAGGACACGGCCACGGGCGCCCAATTCCCCCTGGCCTCCTCCCAGATGGGAATGAAGGGAACAAGTTTACACAGATTTGGGTGCTGCCTGCATGGCTCCTCCTGGAGCCCACGCTCCAAGGGACAGGTCCCACCCAGACCTGGGGCAGGTGAGTCTAGAGGCAGCTACTGGAAAAGCCACTGCCTTTAAAACGAGTTTAACTACTCGGAGTAAAACCCAGAGCAGGTTTAGTTAAGCACCACCGTAGCCAGTGTTGAGCACATGTGGAACTTGTGGCTGCCCCATCCCTGGAAATGTTTAGGGCCAGGTTGATGGCGCTTAGAGCAACCCAGTCTAGCGCAAAGCGTCCCAGCCCATGGCAGGGGATGGAATAGGATGAGTTTTGAGGCCTCCTGCAACCCAAACCATTCCAGGATTACTGTGCCCCCCGAGACTTCTCTGAGCTGTAAACCTTCACTGAGATATTCCAGCAGCTGGGCTTAAATCCCTGGAGAAACAAATCTAACTGCCCATGTTCCCTACGAAGGCCTTTACACACCCAGAAAAAACTCTGGAATTATATGAGTCCAAAAACATATAAGTTCCAGTACCAGATCCTGTTCACTGTTGCAAGATTGGCAAATCCAGAGCACAGCATATTTAACAATGTTCCTAAATTTTTATTGTAAAAAATTATAATTTTGACCTATAACAATTCAATGACAATTCAATGAGGGCAGAAATTTTTTAGGAGTGTTGGCCATGAATGACAGTAGAATTGGGCACCTGACAAGCACAACTTGGCATTGCTGAGAACAGAAACCAGCAACCGAAGAGATTAGAGAGATCCAAAGGGTTTATTTTTTTAAACTATCTACCTACAACACAAACATAGACCAAGCTGGCTGCCCTGATGCTACAGGTGAAAGAGAATCATGGAATGGTTTGGGTTGCAGGACGCCTTTAAAACCCATCCAGTTCCACTCCTTGCCATGGGCAGGGACACCTTCCACTATCCTAGGTTGCTCCGAGCTCCATCCAACCTAGCCTTGGACACTTCCATGGATCCAGGGGCAGCCACAGCTTCTCTGGGTAACCTGTGCCAGGGCCTCACCACCCTCACAGCCAACAATTCCTTCCCAATATCCCATCTAATCCTGAACTCTGACAGTGGGAAGCCATTCTCCCTTGACCTGTCCCTCCAGACCCTTGACCTAAAAGTCCCTCTCCAGCTCTCTTGGAGCCCCTTTAGGCACTGGCAGGGGCTCTAAGGTCTCCCTGGAGCCTTCTCTTCTCCAGGTGAACATCCCCAGGTCTCCCAGCTTGTGAGGTGATAAAAACCATAAGGTGGTGAAAATTCTTTGGAAGCTGGAGCAGGGACCATATTTACAAGTAAAATTTTCTTTTCCTCTCCTGGCTGTGCTGCTGCTGGAAGCCCATTCATTGCAATCCCCACACAGGTGTGCAAATACACACAGCAGGTTCTAAATCCAGTGACTGATAATCCAAAACAGGCTGGCAATCGCTCTGTTCCCCTTCCCTGGAATTCCTACTGCACATTCACACACCTCTGTGCCCCTGCAGATACACCCACTGTCCCTGCACTGCAGAGCTCGGATTGGAGGCTCCGGGCATTTGCTGAGCTGGCAGCGGAGCCAGGGCATGGATACCTCATTAAGCAGGGCACGGCAGGATCCGAGATTGCCATGGACACTCTTTGGAGGGAAACCAACCATCAGTTGCCAAGGACTGGTGGAGCTCTGGCACCAAGCCCTGGCACCGCTCCACACTCGCCCAAGTCACACCACGAGCTACGATGGGCTTGGAGAAGCCACAGCAACGCAGCTCCCTCATTCCCAGGAAATGAGACAAAAACCACCAAAAGTTCCCAAGGGATTGTCCTTAGCAAGGCAGGGAGGTGGCAGGCAGAACGGACAGTGTCCCCTTTATAATCACATGCTACTTCCTGTGCTGGAAACAGGATCACAATTTTAATAGGTGCTGTTAAAATCACTGTACGGAGGGGAAAAGCAAATTGTGTTAAAAAAGAGACTGTCTTGCCACAGCCACTCCTTGTCCCTGTGCCAGGCTTGTCCTGTTCACATCCAGCAGGGAAACAAAAATAAATGTCACACGTAAACTCCTTCACAGACATGTGACTGCTGCGTAAAATCAAAGTTTAATGGAAAAACCGCTGCTTTGCTTATCTGTGCAAGTTCTCATTCTGCTCACTCACCCTGAAAATTGTTAAGGAAAAATAAGAAAAATTTCAATATTGACTTGTGCATCCTGAGGGAGATCAAAACACAGTCAAAACAATCACAGACCACACAGAAAGGTTTGGGTTGGGAGAGACCTTCAGGGATCCAGTCCAACCTCAGCTTTAAATGCATCTGAAAACTAACTGGCTCCCAGGGTCACTTCCCTCCCCAGAGCTACAGAGACTCCATATTCCTGCCTAATCAAAGCTCCAATCAAACCAGCCATAAAAACCCACAAACCCAACATTGCTGGCATAGTTTGAGGCCAGCGTAATGCATCCCTCCAAAATCCTGCATTCAGAGGTCAGGCCATGCTGGGGAAGGAATAAATCAGGGAAGGACATGTGGGAGAGAGAAGAGAAAATTCCATGGCTGGATGGTTCCCAGTCCCTCCAGCCAAGGCCGGCAGCACCAACCTGAGTCCTCTTTTTCCATGGGCCCTGGCAGGCAGTTCCAGCTGGAGCATCCCTGCTGTACAGAATGGATCCCTTGCAAGGTTTACAGCAACATAAACCACAGTCAGCTAGGAGAAAGATGATCCATCTCCCAAAATCATCAGTGACACTTTCTCCTTATCCCAGCTCCAACCTTAGACCAAAAACCTGACTCAAAACTACAGAGATGAAAATGCAGTTTGGGATCTGCTCAAATTTACTTGCAGCAACAACAAAATCCCAGACTGGGTTGGGAGGAAGCTCAAAGTTCATCTCATTCAATCCCCCTGCCATGGGCAGGGGCACTTTCTACTACCCCAGGTTGGTCCAAGCCCCGTTCAACCCAGCTTTGGACACTTCCAGGGATGGGGCCGCCACAGCTTCTCTGGGCAACCTGTGCCAGGGCCTCACTATCCTCATGGGGAAGAAATTTATCCCTAATATCTCACCCAAACCTGCCCTGGAACTGAATTTTTTGCACTTCACGCTGCAATATGGCAGTACAAAATTTATCATAAATGCCTTTGGTAACTGCTTGATTTTATTTGGTAACTGCTTGATTTTATTTTAACAAACAGAAAGGAAATCTTCTGGAAGTATTCTGGCTAATCATCAATATGATTAATGACACAGAAAAGAACGTCTTTTTCTTCCATGAACTGGGAAGATACTCACAGATACATCAAATATCTCAGTCACTGAGCAAACTGAAGCTCAAACAACAACAGAGGACAGACATTTAAACATATCCAGAGAGGGACTGACAGCCCAGGAAAGGCCTGCTGGAAACATTACAACCAACTTCAAATTAAAACTTCAATGTATAAACAATCAGAATGTTCAGCTGTTTCTGCTGAAGGAGGCCTCTTAGGGCCACCTCCTGTCACCACCAAGTCCTCCTTGCACAGCTTCCCAACCCTTCCTGTGGCAGTTCCTGCTGCACAAGCCAGACCTGCAGTTTCCGAAGGCACAGCAGTTTTTCCTGGTTTTCAGCCCATATTTTTCCCTTTCTGCAACACTCACCAGGCCCTCCTGAGAATATCCCACACAATCCCTGGTTCAGGCCGCGAGGGCAGTGCTGGGTCCTAGAGCATCCCCTTATCACATTGATGGAAACTAGTAGGGAGGATTTTGCTCTCCTCAGCTTAAACCACCAGAAAACTGTCTGGGTTTGTGCTCTGAGGGAGCTTTGACACAAGGAAAGCCATAATTTAGAGAGGAAAATGAGGCAAAATCTCCCCTATGTGCTCCCACTGCGCCCGCTGAAGGAATGGTTATGGATAACAAAGGGGTGATTCCAGAGAGCATCACCACCATTGGATTGTGGACTGCCAGAACAGCCTGGATTAGGGAAACAGGCTGAGGAAGCAGGCTGCTCCCTTCACACCAGAACAAAGATGGGCTTTTCCATCTCCAAACACTTTGAGAGCTGGTGTTGGAGGATTAGTACCCACACAGTGAGTGAGGGCTTGGAGCTGATGCCCTGTGTTGGAGCGAACGAAGGTTCAGATCATGTGTATGTCCCAAACCAGATCGTACCAAGAAGTGACCTGTCCCTGTACAGAAGGTTTGGAAAGACACAGGAGAAGGGATGGGGAAAAAAACTGTGTAAACAAAGGGGGAGCAAGTCCGGATCCTGCTTGAGTTGAGCTGAATGTTTAAACAAGGAGATGATCCCAGCAGCCACATCCCGCTGTCGACAGCAGTTGGAATACAAATAATCCTCATAACACACTTTTTTCCTTTTCCCTCCTCCCTCTGTAACTCCATCACATGCCAAGACACTGATACGGACACAGGAAGCTGAATATAAACACATTGCCTGTTTTACCAAATATTAAAAGGAACAAAACTAAAAATACACAGCTGTTGGTGTCTGTGAACATCCTAAAGCTCCGATCCACCCACACCCGGGCTGGCTGGGGCCCCAGGAACCAAGGAGCTTGGATTTGGGGTACACTGCAGCCCAGATCTGTCTTCACAGAATTTCAGACTGGTTTGGGTTGGAAGGGACCTTAAAACCCATCCAGTACCACCCCTGCCATGGACAGGGACACCTTCCACTATTCCAGGTTGCTCCAAGCCCCGTCCAACCTGGCCTTGGACACTTCCGGGGATGGGGCAGCCACAGCTTCTCTGGGCAACCTGTGCCAGGGGATGGATGTACCCTCACCGTGCTTCCACCTCCCCTGGGTACCCCCACTGGTCCCTTCACCTTCCTGCTTCTACCTACCTCCATAAAATCCCATGGAGAATCCTACTACAGCCCAGTCACCACAGGACTTCAGTCACTGCCTCTGCTCTTTCTGTTGCTTCTCATCAATCCTTGCAAAACATGGAGTGAAAACTTTTTGTTTCTCTCACCATTATTTTCTCTTCTCCTTCCCTTCCAAGTTTCCCCCCTGGTTATTTCTGGGAGCAAGAATTGATGTCAACCCGGAGGAACCCCCAACTCCGACCATAGGATGAACACTGAGGTTCAGAAAACTGAGACCCAGTTGTGTAATATTGCACAATTCTGCCAAGAGCAGCCCAATTCCAGCAGTGATTAATGTGGAGCAAATCCCGAGGGTCACCAAACATCTGCAGCCTCCATTTCCCAAGAAACAGCGAGTCTACAACAACCCTCAGGATCTAGGGGGACTTGCTTCCCATTCCATCCTAGCTAATGGAAGTGCCACTACAATTCCTACCTTTGCACAAGCGTATTTCTACGCGAGGACATGAGACCTGCAGCCTTCACCCACTCCTATAGTTTGTGTAAGAACAGATGAAGTTGCAGCAACACAATCCTCCCTGGAATACAACTCCAAGCCTCGGTCAGGGCTGTAGTGGTGTTTCCCATGCTAACTATACACCCCTTGGAAAGTATTCCCTCTGTTCCCTGAGACGATCTCTGCTCTGGCAAAGGGGACAAAGGGAAAGGGCTGAGGGGGAGGATTTATGGGGCTGTACGACAGATTTCTGGAGCAATTTGGATTTGCTTTTGCAACAGATCCTATCAGAGGGTTATGCATTGGGATTTGGAAAGCTGTTTCTGGGGAGGAAGGACATTCCCACTGGGCAGAGCCGTTGTGTTCAGCATCTTCCACTCAACATTCCAGCAACACTTACAGGGAAAATGGAGCCATATAGGAAAGAGTGACAGTGACTTCTTAAATGGGCAGATAGTGCCAGGACAAGGGGGGATGGCTTTGTACTGCCAGAGGGCAGGTTTAGATGGGATATTGGGCAGAAATCCTTCCCTGGGAGAGTGGGGAGGCCCTGGCACAGGTTGCCCAGAGAAGCTGTGGCTGTTCCATCCCTGGAAGTGTCCAAGGTCGGGTTGGATGAGGCTTGGAGCAACCTGGTGTACTGGAAGGTATCCCTGCCAACAGCAGGGGGTGTGACTGGATGGGCATTAATGTCCCTTCCAACCCAAATCATTCTGGGATTCCATAATTCATCCCATGCCTTTCTACACAGAATTTGTTGTGAATCTGGCTCAAATATTCCAAGTCTTTTTTGAGGAACAGAGCCTAAGAAATTAAGAACTTTCAGTACTCATTAAAAAAGTTATTATATAGCCAAAGAGACATTATATTTCAAATAAAAGAAGTATCTAAAACCTACAGCACAACTCAATATTTGGATTTAACACCACCATGAGATGAGAGATGCTGGAAGTGGCTCTGCTGTTTGGGAGCCCAGGAAACTCCTCCAGGTTAACAGGAGAGGTTTGTTTTTAAGGAAAAATCATCCATCGGCTGGGTGATTAGGAAACAAGCTCACCCCCAGCACCAGACCTCATCCATTGCTCTCTCTGGAGTTTATTGCTGCTTTAGTCCTTGATTAAAGATATCCTGCAATCCATCCCACGCCGGGATGAAATACGGGATTGAGAAGTCATTAACTTCATACTAATCCCTCAATCTCATTTAGTGGCACTGGAGTCGCATCAAACATCAAATCCTCCCACTGTCCACTGCTCGGCCTTTACTCACAGAAATGTACTTCTAACCCAATTTACAGCCCAGATAAACACAAACAAGTAACACGTCCATGATGCTGTGACCTCTAAGCCAATAAAAACACCAGATAATTGCCTGGCAAATCGCTGTGAATTCCATTTAAGGTGCCACACTAATCAAATTAAATCACAGAATCATGGAGTATCTTGATTTGGAAGGGACCCACAAGGACCATCCAGTCCAACCCCTGGCTTGTACAGGACAGCCCAACAATCCCATCCTGTCCCTGAGAGCATTGTCCAAATGCTCCTTGGGCTCTGTCAGCCTTGGTGCTGTGACCACTGCCCTGGGGAGCCTGTTCAGTGCCCAGCCACTCTCTGGGGAAGAACCTTTTCCTTTGATTCCCCCTTGACATAGCTCCAGTCATTCCTGCTGGCTCCTCCTTCCCAAAATCACCAGGCTAAAATCACAATATCCACTAAAAACACCCATTTCTCCCCCTCCCCACAAAATGAAAGAATTTAAGCTTGGAACGAAGTATTGCAATTTAAAAGTTATTAAAGTTCCTGGAGCTGCACTGGATGATCTGTGTGGGTCCCTTCCAGCTGAGGATATTCTGCAATTCCCTGATTCTCAGTAAACTTGTTACTGCAACAGGGTGTGTAATCTTAGTATCAACACGAAACCTCCTCGACTAATGACGCTTCCCACTAATTAACCTTCTTCCCACACTCATCCCACAACTCCCCACACGTGGGAAACTTCCTCCGTCAAGCAGAGCTCTGTGATTCCAAGGAAAACTCATCACCTGATGGCTGGGGAATATTAAAATTGGTAAAATGTAAAGGATTTAGCTGAAAGTTGTGGCTGGTACAGTTGGAGCTGCCAGCTCTGGATATCCATCAGTGCCATGGGGAAGGGCTGGATGGAGGGAAGGAGGCGGGAAGGAGGCGGGAAGGCCGTGCGACGCTGTCCCCGAGGAAAAACGCCTATTTTAGTATTATTTTTACATAATTAGGCAGATTAGTTTTTACACAATTAAGCAGATTTCGACCCGCTCCGGAACCGCAAGCAACTTGTTGAACCGCAGCACAAACCGCGCGCTGCCTCCCCACCGGGAACTTCCCTCTGGACGGCAGGAAAAGGAGGGGGAAGAAAAAATAAAAAGCAACCAAAAAACACAAACTTTTAAGCACCCAGGCACCGCTCGGGCCCAGCCCGCCCCGCCAGGCCCAGCAGCAAAAGAAGGGTCGAGCCGCCGCTTTCCGCTGCTCCGCCGGCTCCGCGCAGCCCGTCCCGGGTGGCAGAGCTCGGTATTCCCGGCGGGACCCCCAACCCTCCCTTCCCGTCCCAGTATCCCGGTACTCACCCACCGGCGCTCCCGGTGTCTCCACGGGCGACCGGAGCGGGCGTTCAGGCTCCGCCCACCGCCCACGAGGCCACGCCCATGTCCACCCACGGACCCGCCCACTCCCGCCCGTGGGGGCGGGGCGGGGCCGAGCGGGAGTGGGCGTGGTCGAGTGGGAGTGGGCGGGGCCGGGCGAATGATGGGCGGGGCCACCCGGGGCGACGAGCGCCCCTCGTGTATTCCTAATCCAGGCGGAATTCCAAACCGGTTTGTCCTGTTCCAAGGTGGATTCAGGCGTGCCGGTGGTCTTTGGGAAGGGGTTGAGGTGGGGAAAGTGTGCGCGCCAGGGATTGGAGCGCACAAGGTCGCGGTGGTGGGGAGTCCCTGGTGGTGGAGCGGTTGGAGCGTCGCCGTTCCCCCCTATCCTGGGAATTTTAGGAGGTAGGAGCAGGGCTGGCATCTGCAAGGGCTTGCCTGCTCCCCAGCGTGCCTCGGCTTGTGGGGCTTTGATCCTGGAGTCACTTGAGAATACATTTTGTCTCCAGAGGGAGGGGAGGGTGTGGGTTAAAATTTAAATACAGGTTCCTGGGAGCTGCAGGAGGGAGAAAGGATGGAAAATGAGGGTGGAAAAACACTGGCACAGGTCGCCCAGGGAAGCTGTGGCTGCTCCATCCCTGGAAGTGGCTAAGGCCAGGTTGGACGGGGCTTGGAACAAATGGTCTAGTGGAAGGGTGTCTCTGCCCCTGGCAGGGGGTTGAACTGGAGGAGCTTTAAGGTCCCATCCAAAACAGACTAAACTGGGGAAGCTGTTGTGCCCATCACTCCACTCCAAGTGTGCCCTGACAGAGCATCCCTGTCATGCAGCAGCTCTGAGAGTAGCAGGAAAACCCTTCTTTGCTGTTTTCCATGGCCATCCTTTGTCCAACATCACCACAGCCGGGTTGTTGCTGTCCCTGGCACAGCCAGGTCCCCCCGGCCACCAGCCTGGCTCCACAGCAGGTTGTATGGGAGAGAAGATGGGATTAGCGGCCTGCCCGGCTCCTCTTTATTGCGAATCTCCCGCATTACAACCAATAGCACAGGGATGCATAGGAGAACACTGCCAGGCATTACACCCCAGTGAGAAAACAGCCAACCCAAACCTTCAGGAAAACTGTCCAAAGAGAAGGAATTCCTCGTGCAATTCCTAATTAAAAACAGAGAAAGCCACTTTTCCCAAGCATGGCCACTAACTGGGTGGGAAGCATTGCCCTCTCGTGGGCTAAAGCAGCAGCTTCCCATCATTCACTTCTAATCGTGATCTTAATTAAGCTGAATTAATTAATTACCTGTGGCCTCGCAGTGCAGCCCTCCTGGATGAGCAGCCCTGACCCAGGCAGGAGTTTGTCAAGGATTCCCAGGAGTTTGTTGTGGGATTTCCAAGAGATTGTTGGGGCACCCTTCCCATCCCAGTGAGTTTGCCATGGAGCATGCACTGGACACCCTGGGAGAACACACTGGGTGCACTGGAGTGTGCAGTGGAGTATAGACTGGTTGGGCTCACTGGGCACACTAATTTGAACTTTGTATTTTCTCTATTAAACATTTATTTTCCTTTTCACCAGCTTCCGGACTCAGACTCAGCATGAGGAGATCCCTTGGTTTTCCTTCCTTTCTTTCCATCACAGACATTTACTTAGTGGCTGCCCCCCCTCGTCTGAAGGCAGGCTGTGCTGTCGTTGGCCTTTGGCCATCTTGTTCCTTTGGCTGCCCAGAGAGCAGTGCAACCCTGTAAGGAGCGTGAGAGCCCCCATCTCTGCACCTGAGGGGGGAAATGGAGCTCTCCCAATCCCCAGCCCACCCTGTAAGCAGGGCAGGGCTTCTTCCTTGGCACCTTTGTGCCTGCTGGCAGTCCCTGGCCAGAGTGACCCCCTGCAATCAGGGTGTGCCACAGCCTTTGTGTCTTGGCCAGCTGTGAATCCCCTCAGGTGTTGAGGCTCCTCTGGCCTCTGTGCAGGCCGGGGTGGCTCTGAGGCTCTCCTCTCCTGCTCAGAGGTAGGGATGGCTCCCCACATTGCCTGCACGGAGCTTGCTCCCTCTTCTGGGACAATCCTTCCCCCTTTGTGCCTTCGTCTTTGTCTGTGGGAGTGAGCAAGTAGGCTTGTCCTTTAGCCCCTGTAGAAATGAGGCTAGTGTAGCTTAGACTTCCCAGGAAGCAAAGAAGGGCTCTGTGCAGCAATACGGGGGTGCTCTCTAAACCCACGGGTGGAGACAGGGCCCAGCCTTGCCCCTTCTTCCTGAGGATGGAGTGAAGCCCCTTAGTGGCGGTGCGGGCACCGTGACCTGCCTGTAGCCATGGCCTGGGTGTGTGCCTGTGCTGCGGGGCTGCCTGTCCTGCTGGTGACGTGCCAGCGTGAGCTCCCCCTGTCCTCGGGGCTGGGGCCCTGTCTCCCCGGCCATAGGCCACGAGGCCGTTGTTGGGAGTGCCGGACCTCGGGAGACAGCCCCGTATGTGGGGCTTTGTGTGTCCCCCTTGCTCAGCAGGCGGTTGGAGGGACCCTCCTGTACTCAGGCGGGTATCCCGTGGGGTCCCTGGCCTTCCACAGGCGTGGGGCTGGGCATGTGCCCTCCCTGTCCTCGGGGCCCACCAACCTTGGTCCACAAGCTCCACTGCCTGGCAGTTGAGTTCGGTTCCTGTTGCTGCAGGGGAAGGCCGAGCTCTGGGGCTGCCTGGGTGTCGACCCACCCGTAAGTGGGGCCCGGGTCTGGGAGCCTTTGTTCTCCCTCAGCTGGCAGCCTGTGCTCTGAAGGTGCAGGAACACCCGGCGAGGTCTCCACGAGAGCTGTTGCGTTACAGGTTATGGTTGGGCTCGTGCTGGGCCCTCTGGCCTGTCTTGGGTGACAGTGGGGTGGAAAAAGCCTTAAACAGCCACATTTTCAGGCATTTGATGCTGTACCAGTGTTGGAAACACTCTGTGCTACAGCATGAATTAAATTATTCCACGGTGTTTGCTGGAGGGCTTCCATAATATTCGTGCTTGTAGCAACTTGGTAAGTGTATTGCAGAGCCCTCCCACCACCAGTGCTTGAGGTGCCTGGGTAGCTTCTCACTGCTACAATCCTGGTATTTTTTTTCCCCTTTCATTTCTAACTTTTTTTCAAACATGCTTTGTGCTTCTCCTTACTGAAGCTCAGTACTTCTTTCTGTCAGTGCTGCCTTTATCCACGGTCTCTCCTAGACTAGTATTTCAAATCAGAGGGTTGGCCTCAACAAAAAAAAAAAAAAGGAAGTAATTTCTTAGGATGTGTTTTTCTGTGGCAGAACTGCTGCACAGGGATATGAAGTGACTCACCTGCTGTCCCTGAAGGAGACAGTAGAAGGGATGAGGATCTGCTCTATCCTCTGGCAGGGATGCTCCAAGTAGTAAGGAGGATGTGGGCAGCTGGCATGGCTGAAGAGGCCTTTTCAATGCTCTCACCCCAGATGAGTTCTTGGTCTTGGTCCAGGGACTTCATGGGATGGATGGATATTTCCCTCCAAGGAGGGATTTTCACTGCCTGGGTGTGAGCTGCTAATCCCTCGCCTGCTGGGCGCCCACGGGCAGCCTGAGGCAGATAATGGATACAGGACTTGGAAGAAGACATGTAGGAATAAAGGAAAACCTTAACGTAGGAGAGAAGAGTCTTTGTATCTCCATCCTTAGATATTTTTAGCCTGAAAGGTACAAATGCATCACTGAGATATAAAAGGAAAGCTCCTGCTGCTCCCTGGGCCAGAGGCTCCGGCATGGTGCTCTGCCTGATTCCTGCCCTGTTTGGACATGGCAGGGTGGGAGCAGGGATTCTCTGGGAGCCCAGAGAATCATCATATGTGTGATAATAACGTATCATTATAAGTTAAATAAAGTTCAGTCATTAGTAGTGGATCCAATAACTTCCAGTAGGAGACTTCCCATCTGGGTACACATACACACACACTTTTCTCTGTATTTACTCACAGCAGCAGTGAGGTTACCTCTGCCTACAGCTGCTCTTGGAGGTCCCAAGTGCTTAACTCTCACTGGAGCCAAACAGAAGTTGGCCTCCAACAGACATGAAACCATAGAGTCTTGGAATGGTTTGGGTTGGGAGGGACCTTAAAGCTCATCTCAGTCCAACTCCCTGCTGTGGATAGGAACACCTTCCACTATCCCAGGTTGCTCCAAGCCCCGTCCAACCTAGCCTTGGACACTTCCAGGAATGGGGCAGCCACAGCTGCTCTGGGCAACCTGTGCCAGTGTTTTATCATCCTTAGTAAAGGCCTCATACAGAACAAAACCAACTGAGCCACAGCAGGGCTGGCACTGGGGCTTTCCCCTCCTTCCTCCACTCGTCCTGCCCCTTTGCATTATTAGATGTACTCCCATCTAGTAGGATTTTACATCTCATCATTTTTCCTAAAGGGGGAAGAAAGGAAACAATTAGGACTGGCAAGTCTAACCTGGCACACAGCAGCACGATAACCAGAAGGCTGCTACGTGCCGTTCATTTTGAGCCTCTTTAGAATTTTCATTAGCTCTTAGAAGCTTTTGATGTCCCTAATTTAGGCCACAGAACACTGCACAGGATGACAGGCAACGATTAAGATGAGCTTTTACTCTTCCAGAGCATGCTGGGCACCTCCAGACTGTGGACCCTGCATATAAAGCAATATTGCTTATTATTCTGAGCTGTTTATTCCATTAATCACGTGCCTGCTTTGCTCTGGGAAGAGGAATTGGAATATAGCAATATTCTGTCTCCTTGTTTTTAAAATAGATGTGTGGGTGGACACCAGCTACTGCTCACATTTTTCTCTTGCAAAAAGAGCTGTTTGTGATTCTCCTCCCTGGTGTTTTCTCTTGACACTGATTTTCCTGGTTGGACTTGGGAAGGAAGATGCCTCAAGCCAGTCAACAAGTACTGCATGGAAATAATAGGTATTAATTGAGAAATGTTTGAATTTCAGGATTGCAGAGAGGAAGTCTTGGAACAGCTTTAAAATTAAAGGTGTTATTATTCCTTCAGCAAAAATCACGCCTGCAGTGCTATTATTTTTGTCCATTAAAATACTTCTGATTTGACAACTTCTAACCTAAATATTCATATGATCATACAATAGTTGATAG